AGGAGAAGAACAAGAAGAAGAAGAAGTGGTGGTGGTGGTGGTGGTGGTGGCTGAAGAGGCGTGCACTACGCCCCACAGCCGCGGAGGTGCAGTGAGGCAGCCCTTAGACTCCAGACGGCGTGCACACGAAGATGTTAGGCTGTGCGGCCGACGGCTGCTGAAATACCATCACCAGTGAAACACCACCCGGTGCGCCCCTGCTATCCAGCCACCTCGTGGCCTCAAGCGTGCAGTCATTCTCAAACTGTTTCTGTTTACTAAAGGCGCTCTCCACTTGTGAAGATGGCGGGCACACTGAGCGTAGATTTCCCCTCCAAAATGGCGAGCAAGTGCTGGCAGTCCGTGCAGAGTGCTTCGTGAGAGACCATGCCTGTGACTGTGCCTGTGCCGGTGCCGGAGCCGGGGCCGGGGCCGGGACCAGGAGCCAGCGCAGAGGCCAGGGCGCGGGGCGGCCCGCTTTGCTCCAACAACGCTGCGCGCTGGGAGTCTCTCACAAGGGAACGATCACGTCGAGTCCTGCCTTAAGTGTTTCTTCAGCGACAGTTAACACGACATATGATTTCAATTTGCCAGTCAATTTCATTTTTGTTAATTTCACACCACTTTACTTCGCAGACCTTTCATTAATGTATCTAGAAAAGGAACTTTCCACATACCTTTCACAAAACAATGAAAGAAATATTAATTACGCAGTTATAAAAAAGAAAATAATTATTATAGCTTTATAAAACTGATAGAACGAAAGACTGTAGACCGATGTGAGGAATGTGGATAATCCCATTTTCTGAATATTTTCAAGGCAGGTTTCGACGTGATACAACAGGCTATTCCCTTGTAAGTCGTTATATGTCTTGACCGTTTGATTACATGCAGCATATACTGTTGAATGAATCAATGGCTTTCTTTTACTTTATAAAAATATCTCAAATGTTTCTACAAATGTGCGTGTCCCGGAGTGGCGGGGGCGGGGCGCCTGGTCTGCGTTGGCTCCGGGCGCGGAGCTCCGAGAACCCGGTTCGTGCCGTGCCGTGCCGTGCCGTACCGTGCCGTGCCGTGCCGCTAGTGCCGTGGCGGGGCGGGGCGGAGCGAGGCGGTGCTGTGGTGCAATCGAGTGAGAGCGCCAGTCGCCGGGGAAGGCCTGTGCTCCGCTCGCGGGGCTGCTGCTTCGAATCGTTTCCCGCAGCAAGTGCAAAGAGCAAAACGGTTTCAAACAGGGTCCGAGATTGAAAACTTAAGTATTCATTTCGTGCTAAAGAATTATACAGCTACGCTTAGAAAAAATATCTTCAGCTGCTGCCTAGAACTATATATATCCATATGTGTTTTGTCTCGATGAATCCGAATCTGCCACCGTAACTGGCCAATCACGTTAGAAGTTCTAATAAAACTAAAAGAAATTAGTCCGAATTCTCTCTCTCTCTCTTTCTTTCTCTCTCACGCACACACGTACACACACAATTCATGCCTGTCACATTCAAAGTTTTGTATAATTAATTATACATTATATTTATTTTACGTGCTTTTACAACAAATTTCACAATTTTAAAAGCTTTTAGTGACAAATTTCTTTATCCTCTGATAACCAAACAATTTTTGTTACATTACCAACGGGAGTGAATGCACCCCAAGTTAAAATCAGAAAAAGGTTAATATATGTCTCTTGGTCGTAAGAACCTTAATACATAACTTTAAAAGATAACTAATCGTAATCTAACTAACCGCTGAAGACACATTCAGCCAAATATTTACTAACATTCTTCTATGATTTATATTTTAATATTCTAAGCCGCTTTTATTCTCTATCACAAAACTTATCAACAATCATACAATTAGAAGTTACTTAAAAGTGAAAGGAAAATTTAATATTAAATCTTTATGGCACATCCAGTATTTCTTTCAAAGGATATTTTTATATGATTCGCACATATTTTTATCAAGACTTTGTTCTTTGCAAACAAAACCAAGTGGACATAATATTTCTTCTTGTTGTTCCTACTTTCTTCATTTTCGGCACAAATCTGACTCCGCGACAAGTTGACTTGATAACTCCTATGATTACTCATAGGAGTAATGAAAGACGCATTAACGAAGTACGAGAAATTTAAATAATCTTGGTTATCAAAGGATTAAGCAGTACACGAAAAAAAGAACAGTTGCAGTATACCAGATCCATGATTTTTTTTCTTCGTGTAATAATAGCAGTAAATTTTTAAAGATAGTAGTACAGTTCCAACTATTAAGTAATTGTATTAAAGATGAAAAACAAACTGAAAAATTCCGAAACGCACGAGAGTGTAAATAATATAAAATTGCAATTCAATGATTCACATGTGGATAGGTTACCCGAAAGGTTGGAACACTTATTGTTGCCAGAGAAATTTGTCGCTACTGATTTAAAACTTGTCAAAACTATTGTAAAAGCACATTCGAATAACTATAGTTTATAAGTATAGAATATATTGTAACATACTAGGGATCGAACCTCGAGGTACCTATTTGGGGACGGGTGAAAAAGGATTTAGCACCAGGAAAACACCTCGCCACAGAATGGTAAGAAAGGCTTTCTGTAAAACGAGCGCGTGCCAAAGGGAGACACGAGGCGCACTGGAGTTCTCCGATCTTGGGGAACAGACACCAAAACATCGGGGCCGCGTGACGTAGTATGCCACGTGAGGGGCAGCTATATAAGGGAGAGTACAGAGCCAGTGGATGGGTTTTGGAGAAAGGGTGAGCACCTCGTGCTGATGCGCAAAACTTGCCCCAGGGCGGTGCAGCGGCGGGCAGCGCTCGTGAGGCAGAGTCATGTGTTGATGCGCCTTTGGAAACTTCATGTTCCATGTGTGACTGCGGTCACGTGGGAGTGATGCTGTATGCGTGCTCCGAGGTGAGGAACGGTGAAGATCCACGACTCGCACCGATCATCAATCGGTTACGATCACTCCTGCGATCAAGGCATTGGTTGATGCGCTTGTAAGAAATTTGTATCTGGGTGTGATATCCGGTCAGTTAAGCTTGGCGCGCTTAAAATTCAGGAGTGGGGTTCTACAAATTAAATTTATCATCAATTGGATATGAATCGCTCCCGTGATCAGGGGATAGTAGGTCTATCAGAGCTAGTGAGTGAAGTGTACATAATTCAAATGTAGATATTTGTGTTACTTGTAAATAAATAACTGTATATATGAAAGCTCGTGTCTGTATTCTCTGTGAGTACCCATGATGTCACAATATTTTAGAAAATACTCGTGAGGTGTGTGAGCATTTTGACTAATTTTTTTATTTTTATGAGGAAATATAGATAAACAGGTCAATTCTGATGACAGATTTTGATTCACCGGGTCTATATACTTAGAGATATATAGATTTAGTCACCTCTTGGTTTAGTTACATCAGGTAAAACATTTTCTCTGTAGGCAGCTGTAGTATCAGTTATCTACTATGTACCCTATTCTCCAAAGATAATTTGTATTGGAGGCAATAGTGAAACACTGTGCGTTTTCCCTAGAGCCGAGAGCAATTCTGTCACTTAAACTGTGCTACTCGCTTGAAGTGCTTCGCGTTTTTAAGCGGCAATGATGTTAAAAGGTTGTATTTGTTAGCGGAAAGAACGTATTTTGATGAATGCACATTCTAGTAAGGCAACATAAGTTTGAGAGGAAGATCCGACACGAAATGTAATTTACATTTTCAAAAGACATAGCAAATTATTATTTTATATTAGATATAATTCAGAATAATTTTGCCTCTTCCACTAAGGTATCCGAAACAGGGGAAATAATATCGTTTTGACGTTTTTTAACACATTTTATAGACAATAATACATAACAACGCAGATACAATAAGCTTTGTGCTCTCGTGTTTACCGCATCGAATGTTGCTAGGTTAATACATTACGACATCATTATGGATAGTATACCGCTTAGGTTTTGAAGCTAACTCTTTACGTAATACTTCTAAGGCGAAATTATTGTGTGGAAAGAAATAAGCCTACTCATAGATAAACTACAGGACTTATCAAAGCATGAAAGTTGTTTAAAAGACAAAACAGTATAAGAGTCGTCAATAGGAACGGTAATCATAATGATGAATTTGCAGAAGTAAAAAAAAACGTTTTGAGGAAAACAATGAAATTTTTACATTTAGAAAAGTTATAGAAAATTTGAGCAACTGCTGTTAGACCGAAGCAAAGGAGATCTCAAAGACAAAATTAAAAGCTCTCCCACGCAATTTTATACAAATCATTTTAAAGTTTTGGGAGCTTGGAAAAGCAAAATAAATCCTTTATATGGCCTTCGCATATATGGCGAAATCCTTTGTATCGCAATCGCATTCATCGCTGACGAGCGTTGCCTTAAGAACGCCATACTTCGATGACCAACGCAAATTTCACAGAATGAAATGATAGATATGCGCTTCAAGGATAAAGTGAAGCGCTTTAACGATGTTCGTATTCAATCCCCAAGTTTGATCCAAAACTCATGATGCGGAGATGCATGTTTTTTAGGTTGCGATTGTGTTCTACTTAATATAAAAAATGTAACTAAAATAACAAATTACCAAAATAAGATGTTATAATACATATTATTACATAAGCGTGGATCATTAAATCCCTGTTATGTTCTCCCACACCAAAAGTAATGTACAATTAATGTATTAAGTTATTTTTAAACTTTTTTATAGGGAATTGCGAAAAAAAGGAGTAAGATATTTGAATTTGATTTTAGTTAAGTTTTGGCTCAAAGGCTTAGTGTTAGCGGGTGCTAGAAATCTGATTGATTGTTCTAAAAATGTTTTGTACCTCCGCGGTAAAGATATATAGAGAATTCTGTTGAATCATCGTTCCTATCATAGTACTGCTGTCTACCGGCTTGACAATGTCCAAGATATACTATTGGTTCTCGATATCCTACCGGTTACTCAGTCTTCGGAACTTTTTTTAGTAAAGAACGCAGGTGTTTTTGGGGGTGAAGACCTTCTTTTTCCTACTCTGGCGAGATAAGATAATGTTACATAAGATCACATTTCATTCTAAAGAAATTGGCAATTGACCACCCGCGTCCAAGTATTGTAGTATTAGGACTTTAGAGAAATATGTGGCTCAATAACCAGGCAACCAGAATTTGAACTGTAAGAGCGAGGGCAAAAGAAGCGTTCATAACGTTTCTCCCAAGGGTGCGTCGGGTAGCACCGACAAAGTTCGAGCGAAGTGAGTTATTTCAGGTCATCCACCTCAAGGATATTTATAAACAATAGACAAAATAGCGTTAATATATTTACAACTAATATGTTAACTAGATCCTCGCCTTTAAAGATCATGCGTGGCAGAGAGGATGTAATACTAGTATGCACAGTGCTTCAATTAGTCATTAGTCTCTCTCCTTTTTAGACGTCAATACGGGCCAAGCTCTAGTAGCTCTAGCAAATGAATGACATGTACAAACTCCACCGGGATTGTAAGGCAGTGGCATTGTTCACGTCGAACAATAGTCGATTTTTTTGTCGAATAAAATGATTATAACTACAATACGCTTGTTCTAAACATTTCCCCGTAATATCAAAGTGGAAAAGGTCCCAGAATACGCCTTTGTAGGGCCAATCCTTCATCTGAAATGCTACGCGAGATACGATCAGCGGAGTGAACAAATTCTGCGCAGCCATTTGGAGCAAAACGGGTGGAGCGCAGACGTGGACGAGTCGCAGAAGCACAGCCCTTGATCGCATCCAATAGTCGCCCCGCGTGCGAATGCTGTGTACTGCTGCAGCGTGCGACTTTCGGTTGCGACTGCAATGTGCGGCTGCCGCTTGCGTCTGGGATGCGCGTCTTCTGCGTGCGACTGCGAAGTGCGACTACGACGTGCGACTGCAGCATGCGACTGCGGCGTGCGATGGTCGCACGAATCTTCGGAGCGGGTGGGCAGGCCGGCCGGCGGAGCGTGGCGTGGCGGGGCAGGGCAGGGCAGGGCAGGCTGGTGCAGCTGCTGCGTCCAAGCGCGTGGCGTGGCGGTGGCGTGGCGGGGCGTGGCGTGGCGTGCGCTGGCAGGCGTGGCGCTTGCGCCAGTGAGGGATGCGACGGCGAAGACTCGACTGCACCGCGCGTGTGCGCACCTCCCGTCTCCCGGCCAGAGTTCAAAAATCCGTTGGCAAACCGCCAAGCGGAATTGAAATTCATTCATTAGCTCCATTTTTCATCGCCAAAGAAATGGTCTAACGTGTCATATCGAAACCCACCTCGGTTTTACCAGTAATATCAAAGGCCACGTATGGTTCATACCCAACATTTTAAAGGAAACTGCTGAAACAATAAGGACGTTGCTCAAATTAAACAATATTATTCTTATTGGGATTATTACGAGTGGTGCATACTGTGAGAAATTGGACATCCATCGAAAAATATTCCCGGCCCAACGCTCTGCGACAAAATATTGTTAATATCATGTCATGGCAAAGCAGGGCTGTGAAGACGGCAGTACCAAACATCGAAACACATAGAAAATTGTATGTTTAATTAACTTTTAGTGGCCTCCATCTTGCTTCAGCAGGTAAAACTTTGCGTATGAGATACATGTGACCTCGCCCGACACTGAAACGAGCCAAGGCGGGGCAGACCATTCCCTGGGAAGTGCGGCGAAGGAGCTCTGTTCGGGCGTGGCCGGGGCGTCGGGGAGGTGCGCGGGGGAGAGGGCGCGGGCGCCGGCGAGGGCGCAGGCGGCAGGCAGCGGCGTGGGCGTGGGCGCGGGCGTGGGCGAGATGGGCGTGGCCGCAGCGCGGAGCGCTCACACGCGCGTGGGCGGCTGCAGCACCATGGCGGCCAGCCTCACCTTCATGGCGTCGGGCGACGC